GATGGATGGATGGATGGATGGATAATTGATGTAATTGATTTAATGGCACAATAATTTATTTGTCAAACTTCTTTTTGACCCTATAATTTATTTTAATACGCCAGTTATATATTTATACATTTATTTCCAATAATGATAGGTTTGGTCCTCCATACCAGAGGACCTACTCACTGATTCTAACACTTTACAATCAGTGTTTCACTCACAGTGTGTGCAGCACTGTGGTTACGCATTCCAGGGATGAAGCTGTGGCACACTCGTCCCCCTGAATACAACAGAGACAGCAGGGACAGAGACATTAAACAAACTGAAACTTAGCATTACAAACAGAACATTTAAATAATAGTCAACCATCAGTAGCTATGTTTACATGCACAAAAGTCTTCGATCAGACTGAAATGTATTCTGATTAAATAATCCAAATGTATCGTTTACATGAGCACAATCCGATCATGAGTGTTTACATGCACCAGGATTTTATTCAGAATAGAAGCACTGACATGCACTGTTGTTAACTTCCCTAAAAAACACAGAAGAAGCTGTTCTACTTCTGTGATGAGCATAAACAACCGTCTTCTGAGCGCTCAGAACGGACCTGCAACAGGTTTTAATGACGGAGACGTTGCTGCACGCCCTGGTTTAGCTACAGGTGATTTGCATGTTTTTGTTTTGTTTTGTTTGTTTGTTTGTTTGTGTTTGTTTTTGCGAAGCGGCGCAGGCTGTGCGTCTTCCTTCTTTATTGACTAAGAAAACGGGAGGAAAAGTTCTGTGCTGCTGGGACCTACAGCGCTGCTGTCCCTCCCTCCACAAAAGAGCAGAAACCTGTGGATGAAAGTCAGCAGACATGAGCGGTTAGGTCAGTTTTCCACAATCAGAATAAGATTATCGGATTAAGTGTTTACATGCACCCTGTTCGGATTATCGGGATAAACCATTCCTCTCGTTCCGATTACAAATTCATTCGGATCGCGCTGAATCAGATCAGAATAATCCCAATGGGGTGTTTACATGACGCATTTTTATTCCGAATGGCCGTTTAAACCAATTACTTATGTAAACGTAGCTAGTGGCTGTCATGAAAATAATGTATAAACTATCAACTGCTGTCAATCAAAAACTTTACTGTATTAGCATTTTTTTTTTATTATTTAAAGGCTTTCGACACTACTGACCATAACATCTTTATGGAAAACTTTTAAAAATATGGCATTAGAGGATTAGCACTACAGTGAGTAATTAGCTATTTGAAAAACAGATTGTTTAATTAAATAATGTAAGATATGAATTATGTAATATCAGTTGTGGGGTTCCTCAGGGTTCTGTACTTGAACAGATGTTGGAGGTGATGCAGACAGAATTTAGGAAGGTACAAACTTGTTTTCAACTTTATAAATTATCATTGAATTTGGATAAAACTAGTTACATGATATTTGGTAACAGAAATAAAACTATCAACGTTCCATTCCGTACTGATGATACTGAAATTTGTAGAGCTAGTGAAATAAAAAACATTTGGTGTCATCATTGAAAAGCTGACATGGAAATCTCACAAATTACTTACGAATAAAAATAGCTAAATCAATTGTATTGCTGTTTAAAGTAAAAGGGTTATTAAATGATAAAGCTCTGTATATTGTATAACACAATGATTGTTCTGTATTTAATTTATTGTATTGAAGTTTGGGGAAAAACATGTAAAACAAAACCTATTTTAATTTTGCAAAAAAAAAAAAATGAGGCTATAAGAATTATTAGTAGAAAGTGTCACCCAACAAATATATTATCATCAGATTAAATTACCAAAATTTTATGATTTGGCTGATTATGGTATTTTGCAGATCAAGTACAAAGCTCATAAAACATATTACCGTCCAATCAATCAAAATTTGTTAAAAGAATGAGTCACTATAACCTTAGGGGAATGTAGATTTTTGAAAAGCCTCCATTTTGAACGAGTTTGAGGGAGCAAAGCACTGTGATTCAGGGAACAGGTTTGTGGAATAATCTTGATAATAACTTCCACAACAAGTTTAAAAAGTTTACTAAATCAAATTTATTGTTAAAGTACTATGTAAGGTTTAGTGACGCTATCATAATGATTCTTTATGTTGTTTTGTTAATGTTTTCAATTTGTTTTTGGTTTTCTTATCTCAAGTATGGAGATTGTTCAAGTTTAAGTTATTTATTTGAAGTTGTTTTTTTAATAAGGGGCAGATACTGTATAAGATTTTTTCTGCACCTTTTTCATTCAACAACTGTTTTACTTAGATTTTTTTAATGGACTTTTTGTTGTTTTAAGAATGAAATAAAAAATAAATAAATTCTGCTGTGGTTTGTGTACACGCCAACAGCGCTGATTTTCTGTGACACCAAAGCTTTTAGAAACAAGGTCTCAGAGTGGAAGACTTTAGAAACGCCCAGCATTAGTGTGAAATAGCACTGCAGATGGCTGAGGTCCTGTTTCTGCACCCAGTGAGTGGATAAACAACAGTATTGATGGAGAATAGCAAACTGCTGTTTGTGCTGCTCACTATTAACACGTAGGAGCAACCCAACCATATTAGCAACCCAACTTTGAATAAAGTGGAAAATAATGAATGGATGGATGAGATTCAATTAACATTAACAACCCAGTGGTTTCAAATATACTTTTTAACACTAAAGTATGGTTTTAAATATGAAGTAAGGCAATAATATGTACAATATTAGAAATTTGGCATGTATCAATAATTTAGAGGGTTGGCATCATTTGTTTGCTTCTAGAATGAAAAAAAGACTACATTGTACATCTTATTTTATGTTTTTTAATTAATAGAATGTCTGAAAATACTTTGGTGCAGTTTGGTGCCAGTTTAGGAAATACTGACAGAACAGTTGGGGAAAGTGCATGAACAGATTTCCAAAAAAAGCTCAAATTTTGACAATTTTGTGGATGCCAGCTGTAAATGGCTTTGTAAGTTTAATATTAGTTACCTGGATTTAATTAAGCAATCAGTTTTTAATATTTTGATACCAAAATAAACAACAGATCTGAAGCAAAAGATCTGGCAAGTATGGTCAGATATTATATAGACATAGTCAAAGCCATGAATTTTAGCATTAATCTTGAATTTTGACTTTGTGGCCAAGAGAAATTTTGTAAGAAATGTTTAAACCTGGAAGGGATGTACTTTAATGGGGTACCAACAAAATTGCTGGTACTTTTTATGCAGATAAACATGGTCTATCTCTTGGACTATATATCGGTCCAAACAACTGTTTGTGTGTTCCCCATATGGGATGTAAATGTTTTCATACTTGAGAATGAAGAAACTGCGTGTTGTTGATAGGGTTTTAGCTGGAGGGGCATCAGGACGTCTTCTGGACGCCCTGTTTGTTATTTTTACTTTTTTAAAATTGTGCTTTGCTTTTTTTCTTTATTTTTCTCAGCTGGCAACACCTGAGGGCATCCTATGGCATTGCCAGTAGGCAATGTTTCAGGACACCCTCAGGGCACCATGTAGATTTTCAGGTTTGCCAAAATGTCCATAAGCTGTTTTATTTCTTCTCCGTAAATTTTGTAAACTTTCATAAGCAATGATTTTATGAAGCCAGTGGAAGACACATTGTACCAGCTTGGATACAGGTGTAGGCAGGGATTTTACATGTTCAGTAACTGGGCCTGGTTCATCCGTAATTTTTAAATTTTGTAAATTTCCATAAGTTTCGTAAGCGGTAGGGGGATGGGGGGGGGAGGACAGGGTAGTTGCTTAAAGTGTTGACACCCTCTTCCAAAATCCTATCTAAAAGCCTGGTTGTAAAAATATAGAAATCCCAGTGTCAGCTAGTGGCCTGGAATGGAGACCATAGCAGCTTCAACAAGAGCAGCATTACTTGGTAAATGTTTTTTCTCAATATCAGAAAAAAATCTCTCTCCTAGAAAATTATTTCCTAGACATCATTAAGACATAAACAGGGCCTGAATATATGACTGCCTGATCACATCTTAATGTTAAGAGCTCCTCGTGACAATCATCAGTAATAATTTATTGTAGTAAATTATTATTGATAGTAAGTGATTAAAACTTTTGAGTCCAGAAATCTCAGTTTGAATCACTTTTGGAGCTCTTCTGTGTGACTGAGAGTATTGATGTTTTTTGTCTGTGTCCCTGATGGACACACCTGTCCAGGTGTCCCCTGCCTTCACCCAAAGGTAGCTCAGACAGACTCCTGTCCCCACCCTGACACTCTCTTTCAATTTGGGGAGCTTTCTCATTTCAAAACTGCAGAGTGGAGCCCCACGATATAAACTGCATGAGATGCTCTGTAATGCAGCTAAACTCATACAGATTAATCTCAGTCCCCTCCCACTTGGGAGGTGTTAGGGTCTCTGTTTGGCTGGCACAGCATCTGGTTTTCCCTCCTGAACCTGCCATCCCCAAAACCCTGACCACAGATAAGAAGAAAACAGATTTTGGTCCTCAGGCTGAAAACCATCAGAGGGATAGATTATGAGAATGCCATGTTGAGTTTATTAATATCACTTTTCAGAATCCTAATGACTGAAGAATAAAATGTCTAATGTTGTCTGTTTAAAATCAAACATGTTCAAACAACCTACAAACTCAGTAAGGGAAAAGAAAACAAGCACACTCACCTGGAAGAGTATACTCGGACAAGGAGTCAAGCCCTCCAGGAGAAGCCCCCTTTCCTTCTCCATCTGTACTTCCTGAAGAAAAGCTTCCCAGAGCGTCCTGCGCCTGGGTGGAGCCCTGGTCACACAGCGGTGTGTAAGCCTCTAAATCGGGCATTTCACTGATGGAGGAGCTGAAAAAGGCTTGTGGAAGCTGAGGTGATGGGGCTGGAAGTCTGGGTGAGTAAGGAGGCCGGAGACCAACAGCAGTGTTGGGAAGGTTGGTGGGGATAGCACCCTGAACTGGACTCTGGAGGAGACGGCACAGATTTAAACGTGTAATAAATCCAAACAACACGGAAATCCTGCTGTTTTTTACTTACCTCACTGACTTTCTTTGGCATGCATTCTAAAATGCTGTCCAGCTCGCCCTTAATCCCACTGCCACATTCCTCCATGTGCTCTGACACAGGAACAGAGTACGGCATGGGGGGCAGAGCCTGGCTGCTGGGGCTCTCAGACAGCTCAGTGCAGGAGGTAACAACCGTGGTTGTTGGGTCATCGCTGACTGGAATGGGCGTGGCCAGAGGAGCAGGAATGCACTGAGCACTGGACAGATCATCTGAGGTGGCACAGTTAAAGACACGAAGAAAGAATAAGTTGGAATGTGGGCAGGAACAGACTATTTTAAGATTTACCAGATAAAAACATACCTGGTCCAATGTCACCCAGAGACTCTAAACCGTTGGAAGACATCTAAAGAAAAACAACCAGTTTTAATTCGGACATCACTAAGTTTAACTCCTCAATAAGACAGAAACTCATCACAGAGACAGACCTGAAGTGTCCTGATGTTAGAACTGATGCAGAAGATGCTAACGCTACGTACCGACTTTGAGGGGGTGAATAGTTACACACACGCTTAGGTGCGAGGGGGTTGGAAACTTTTGCAACTCACTGTAGAGTAATTTTAGAGGCTGAAGTTTGGTTTGAGCTTTAGTGTTTCTCCCCATTTAGCTAATTGTTGCTGTTTACATACTGTATAAGAATTTAAGAAATATTGAAAAAAGATATCTTTTTGTAGTTCTTAAAGGTGCAGTATGTAACTTTTCTAAAAATATATTTTTAACATATTTGTTCACTCTGTC